AGTAAATATGGTGCGTACTGTAAAAACCATTCTAATGTTTAACTTTTGAATCGGAGTTTTTGAGAATTCATATATATATATTATATACATATTGGGGGTTTCAAAATTGAATTGATAGATTTCCACAGCACGAAGAGTGCTGTTAAACTTTATTTTCATCTTTCGAGTCGATGATCTTTCCTTGCATCTTACCATTCGACCCTGTTTCTCTTATTTCTAATGGATGAACCAAGTTTTAGTGAGAAGACACGACTGTGAAATAAACTATCTCGTATTTTAAAGTTTGACCCGAGAGAAACGAAAAATGTTAAAAGAAGAAAAGAAAAAATAAATATATATATATTTATACAGAAAAAGATAGAAAAAATGTAAATGTAATTTCATGGTAAATATTTAAATATTAAAATATTTCAATGGGATCTAAATTAAAATATATTGTAATTAAAATATGATAGAATTTCATTCTATTGAAACTGGTTATCAATGTGAAGACTCGAAATAACAAAAATTAAAATAAAAATAGAAAAAAATCGATATTTAAATATGTAGAATACAGATCTATGTATTTTTCAAATATACGTTCTGAGCAACATCACATTTATGACGTTCTGGTTTTGTTTAGAAAATCCGACCATCATATGTATGTGACAGTTTTAGAATAGAAAAAAAACAAGTAATGGTACATATAAATTTTTCTCCACAATTTTTGTGTTTCTTAATAATTGTGTAAAAAAAAAAGGTATTATAATAGTAAAAGAAAAATACTATTGTACTATACATTTCTTGTCACTTGTATCAATTTTAGTACTCGCTGGAATTTAATTTTATGTAATTAAAGATGGCAATTTTTTTTCGATACAAGGGGATTTTTCTTTTGATAAATTTTTTGTTCCTGAACATTTGTGATACAGTAAATAAATGTTAATTTTATAGTATTATATAATAGTAAACAAAAATACTGTTGCACTATATGTTCCTTGCCACGTGTATTAATTTTCATACACTTTAGAACTAATTTCAATTATAAAAACTGAAGATAGGGGTTTTCTTTGATAAGAAAGTGGCGATCGACGAAAGGACTAGAGACAAATCGCACGATTAGCCAACGAGTGCTGAGCTTCGCACAGGAATTGGGTCGTACAAACATTTAATCTCCTTTTCCTTCTCGACGTGTTCGACCGTAATCCGATACGCCGTGCGTTTATTTGGAGCTTGGCGAGTTCTCAAAGAGAGAAAACAAAAATAGAAAGAAAGAAATGAAAAAAGTAAAAGAGATAAGTAAAAAAAGGAAATAAATCGATAGATAAAAAAATAGATAGATAGATAGATAGATAGATAGATAGATAGATAGATAGATAGATAGATAGAGAATTCAGGGGAAAAATCTTTTCGGCCAATTCGAATCTTCGGTTCAACGGAAGGTGGTCGTCGCATTGTCACGATAATTCCTTTCCCGTTCTCTTTTCTTCTTCTTCTTCCTCTTCCTCTTCCTCTTCTTCTTCTTTTCTATTTTTCTTTTTCTCTCTCTCTTTCTATCTCGTGGTGTAATTAACTCCTGTCAGATGCACGTGCGTTCCAAAGCAGTACGGAACGGGGAAATTCCGGAAGAGAGGAGAATGAGTAAGAAAGGAAGCATCGGGTGGGAGGAGGTGGGTGTGCATTAAACTGTTTTCTTTGTTACCCTCGATGAAACATCTCAATCGATCTTTCGAAAATAATTTCTATTCGATATTACCTACTACTTCTTCCTTCAAATTTATCCTCGTTTTTTCTTTTTTTTAATCTGCCGCGTTTTTGTTTATTAAATTCTTTTAGTTTTATATTTTAATTATTCACTGACCCTCTGATTTATTTATTTCAGTAAAAAGTTAGCATTCGTTATACATATATACAAAATTATTAAACAAATATTAAACTCTGTAAAATATAACGTATTCATCCTCCCATTTGTATGAGATTTTTAATGTTTTTAGATATTTTACAAACAAACATTAGTTTACGAAGTCTCGAATTTTAAATCTCAAGAATTTTCGTTTAACTCTATGACACGTAAAAAATATATAATATCTAATGTAAATACAAATGTCGATTAAAAATAAAAGAAACGTTGATAAAAAAGAATAATATTAAATAATAAAATGAGTATTTATGCAAACGGCGATCAGTAATATCTGAATTATTAATCGTCAACAAGTAAACATATTCTTCGTTAGAAATGTTGCAAAGTGGAAATCAATTCCACGTATCCTTCCTGTCTAGTTATAATGGTCACCAACAGAGGATCAAAGCTACTCATGACGCAAGACACACATATATACACACACACACACACACACATATATATATATATATAGAGAGAGAGAGAGAGAGTGAGACAGAGATAGAGAGAGATATATATATACTAACGTTCAAGAGAGCTTAAAAGGACAAAGGAAATGCAATTCTCTCGTGCAATTTCCCCCGCGGCGTCGAACGAAGCACACCGGTCTGAAATTGACCGCTTCAAAGAGAAGCAAAAGCCAACGGCCACCGTCCAACGACGAACTTATTTCCATGCGAGGTGGAAGGAAGAAGGATCAAATAAGAAGAAAGAGAGAGAGAGAGAGAGAGAGAGAGAGAGAGAGAGAGAGAGAGGGAGTAGAACGCGTTTCCCATGGTTTGTTTGCTAGCTTCCTCGCTTCCTTGTTTCCTTGCCTCCCGTGGCTTGCTTTTAAACTCCGGAAGGAATCGTAAAGCACGATTGAGTGCATTACAATGAGATGAACAACCCTTTTACAAAAACATTCCATTTCAATTTCATTCCTATTGAATTATTTTTCAATATTCATTCCATTAAATGAAGTATATTTTTTGAAGTGAAAACTTCTTTAGAATCGGGGTGATTTAAAAACGAAATGAATGAAACGATGAAAAGAAAAAATGACGAAACGCTAAGTCACTAAAAAGAGAAAAAAAGATGAACATAATACACTTATAGGATTGAGCATGTGAGAGAATGAGATAGAATATATTAGACAGTTTTAACAATTCTGGATCTTCTCTTTGTGAGGTGTTTTGTAATTTCCATTTCTAGCTACTAAGCGTTGTATATCTGTGTGTTTGTATGCGACTGCATACTACGAGGCGTAGGCTCGTATTATTTCACAGACTACTTTAGGTCTACCGTAAAGTTCTGTCCGTTCTGACAAACACCTGTTCAATTTTACGTGTCTAGGGATAAGACATTTTTTAAAAGTGCAATATACAAATTGTCATTACCCTGTGGGAAGAAGTTATAAATAATGATGATAATTATATTACTCAATAAATATTAGTCAATTCAAGAGATATGAAAATTTATTACTTTTGTTTTATTCTAAAAACGGACAGAAGTTTCCGGTAGACATAATATAATACTTTTATTAATATTGCTTTGATAATATGTAATACTAGCAAACAATTTTCTTACCCTATCTCTTTCTTTGGATAAAGAGAAGCTGAAGAACAAGAGCTTGTAGTTTAGCCGAACTGGAGTTTACTCTTGTGGCATAGTTTTTCGACGAGAGCCAACTTGACACTTGCAACATTAATGCAGAGAAATTACGTCCGGGTGAGGGTGGATGCCCTCCTAGACGTACTTCTATACGAAAGACGTTGCTTTTTGCTATTCCCCCTTCCCACTTTTTCCTCTCTCTCTCTCTCTCTCTTAAGCGAGTTCCCTTTCATCTTGCCAAGGTTCGTTGCATGTAATATATTCGCGGAAGGTGCTTTTCCAACTCTTGCGATTTCTCGACCCTACACTTCTTTCTCATGAGAACTAGCCTTTGGCTTGAATACACCAGTAGGCCAGTTCGATTATTTATTTACGTTTACTGTGAACGAATGTCTATCTTTTTACTCTTTCTCTTTCTCTCTCTCTCTCGTTTGTTTTCTTTGTTTTTTTTTTTTTTTTTTTTTTTTTTTTNTTTTTTTTTTTTTTTTTTTTTTTTGTAAATATTGTGCACATTTGAGCACACTTACATTCGCGTTATTTCAAGAATTTGATTTGGAAGAATTTATTTTTTTTCTGTGTATACATTTTAAGTGTTTCGAGTGTTATATCAATTTTATTATGTAATATTATGTGTTATTTTATTATGTGTGATAGGATTTGTTGTATATTTTTGTATTTATGTAATTAATTGATTTTCTATTTTTTTTAAAGAAATTTTTATCACTCTTTTAACATATAAGTGTTAGAATGTTAAGTCTGTTTTATTAGTTAAGAATTTGTAGCCTTATGGATACATGCGTGTACGTGCATAAAAATTTTAGTTTCTTTCGTTGTATGATTTGAAAAAAAATTTTTCTAATTCTGTGTGTATAAATTACTGTAAACTTATTTGATTCTTTTTAATTGTTTAATCTATGTTTTTTCATAAGACTACAATTACACATGTGTATAATTTCATTTAAAAATGATGAAAAATGATTTCTTATGATTGCAAATAATAATATGATTATTTTTTCAAATTTAAAAATAATTTATATATCCAATAAAATTTATATCCCAGAGAAGGAATTGAATTTCTTTTCAAAAAGTTTGAATCGAAGAATCAGCACAGTTATTCTTCCCGAAGTTTTCTCAACAAGTGACTTTTTACGAGTTTAGGTTGTCAAGCCAATACTCAACCCCTATTAGTCGTCTTTTATGATAAGCAGAGGATACTGTTGGTATATTTTATTCCCCTACCAATAGGAAGTTTGAATAACAATAATAATAATAATAATAATAATAATAATAATAATAATAATAATAATTTTAGTGATTTTTAAAAACAAATTTATTTAATTGTAATTTCAAATTATATTAACATCAACGCGATGTTTTTCCTTGATGATTAAAATATAAAAATAAATAATAAACAAATTTAAATATTTGTCAAACATATTAAATATAAATTTCGACGTTGATCACAATTCTATTTATTCCATTTAGAATTGTGTTTATTTTTTAAATATAAATAAAATGATTTACTTACTATACCAGGATGAGTAAACATGCAAGGAAGTACAGCAGTACCACCATTTTGTGCAAGGATATCTGTCACGCGTTCACCACGTCTGATAACATCCTTCGTACCATCATCATCATCATTTTTTCCATTTTCTACCGTAGTGGTAGTGGTAGTGGTGGTGGTGGTGGTTATAGTATTTACTGCATCTAACAAACAAACCATGATACAATTTTTACGTTTCCCAATTACACCGTTCATGTGCAGTCCTTGAAAGTTAACATTTAATTCAAGCCATATTAAACTTTAAAATACATTTTTCCACATTCAAGGTTATATATTATAACGTTTATGGTAGTAGAAGAAGTTAACACGTTTGCTACGGGATTATGTACACTAAGAGTTAAGTGGAGACTTGTTACATGGTCGAAATGAAAAAAGAAAAAAGTAAAAAAAAAACAAAAAGTACCAGGTAAACTCATTTCAAGCATTTCTCTCGAATGTTCTCCCGACTGTCGTCGTCTGAGGACAAAACGTGGAATGAAATGGTTTGTTAGAAAGAGAAAGAAAGAGAGAGAGGAAGAGAGAGAAGGAGACATAAACGTTCACCGCTAAAACTTTACTCCTGCGGTATATTGGTAAAGTTCGTCGGCTTGTTGTTTGGGTCGAAAACTTTCTCGAGTTTGGATTTATTTGCTTTGCCTTACAGCATTTGACATTTAAACTAAGCTTCCTACCTACTTTCTAACGATTTTCTTGTCTTTGCTATATTTTATATTGTCCCTAATCCCCATCCCCCTTCCTCTTCTCACTTTACATCTTCCTCCTTCGTGGAATTTATTTGTAATTTATTTTTTTGTCCTATTAGTTATTTGACGTTTATCCAATTACTATCAGATTTGACATTTTATTTGAACGATTCGGGTCGAACGAAATTTGTATGGGTGTATGCATACGTGTATGTGTGCGCGTGCGCGTGTGTGTATGCGAGCATGTGAGTAGGTAAGCGATTTAATGGATCTATAGATGCGTTTTGCCTTTTGGGATTTGCTATTCCAAAGTCGTCGATCAATGTGAGAGCCCATTAATTATACCTCGAGTTTCTTGGAAAGTTCTAGGGAGTTTCTCGGGGGGTAATGGAGAGTTTATACTAGGCCAGAGAGATAACGACGCCCTCGACGCGAAACAGCTCTTCACGTATATGTAAATATTATAATCATTTTAAATAACTAGTTATTTAAACATGAATTTGAACGAAATTTAACTCTAACATGTGTAATATTGATTTAATTATTTTATAATTTATTTAATATAAATTATAGATACAAATTCATGAAGAAAAATAGCACTGGGAAAATATTTTCTATGTATTTAAACGTATTCTAGGTATTTTCTCGTGTTTGATTAACATTAAACTAATTTTATGTAAATATATTGTGGGTGTATGATAAAATTTATTGTAAATGTCACATTAACACACCACGAGGAAATAATAGGGGAAAGAAATTTTTTTTGTATGTATTTGTTGACCGGAAACGAGAGAAAAAAAAAGGTTATTTTACTTTTTTTTTTGATATTTTATGCAAACGAACGATACGATATAT